GTGGGTGTGGGGGGGGGGGGGGAAGTGGCTAGAATATCAGTATATACAACTGTCTACTCCACTGACTGATGTAATCAGTTAAAATATCAGTGCATACAGTCATCTGCCCAAGTAGCTGAGGTTATAAGGTAACAAAAACGCCAGTTCCCTGACAGATTTTCAAGCTTGCTTTACTTTAAAATCTCAGAAACTGTCCCACAAGGGACAACTGCTAAATTTAATATTGATGAAAACAGCTATTTACTGTTAAAGCATCTTGGGTTTTTAAATTATTTTTTTCTTTTTTAAAAAAATATTCAGTTGAATACAGCTGGTACAGGCAAGTGCTTAGCTTGCTTCAATGCTAAGCATACTGTCACTCCTTACTTCCACTGTTCTCCTTGGCTTACATAAGTCTTTTTTTGAGCAAAGTTGAAGGTCTAAGTGTTAAGTGATGCTGCTGCAGCAATTTGGTTCTTAATTGTGTACAGTTGTAAACAGACAAAACAAGAACTTATGAAAGGAAGGACAGTGTGAAGGAGAGAACTCTGCCTTAAAATGACACAACAGATTCCAGCTCATGTCCTGCTCTGTCACAAGTTTTTCTACATGACCTTCAGCAAAGCCACTTAAACTCCGAGTTCCACAAAATGAAGGCAGCAGTGCTGTATTACCTCATGGGGTTACTGTGAGGCTAAAAATATTATTTTCATAAAAGTAGTTTAGTCCTAATAAGTACAGGAAAACAAATCAGTTGTACAAGATGCTGAACTGAGATGGTTCCTACTACAAAGAGCTCACAAGCTTAATATCATAGAGCACTGACTCCACAGTTCTGTGACATCCTAACTGTGTACGGAAAGAATGCACAGAGAGGGAATTCAACTTCAGTACCACTATATGCTGACTAAATGTCATTTGAGCCAACCCCAAACTCATTAGATGTCTTTCACTCGCCGGATCCAGCAGCGAAGGGAAGAAACAAGGTCATCTACAACAGAGCTGTAGAAATTCACTGCCACCACCTAGCAGCAAGAGTGGCATCAGTGAAACGAAGCCACTATTTCTTTTTTTCATTCTCCACCCAGGAGGACAGACCTACTTGCTGTCCTACAGACAAAACCGAACATTATGGTAAAAAACAAAATTAAAATTTTAAAAAGCCATCAAGCCACTTCACAGTGATTATAATAATTAAACTTAAAAATAATTTAAAGTCAGCACTCAATTGTACATCTTTCTCCTTTAGCTGGGCCATAGGAAAGATGCTGACAAAGTACAAAGGGATAAGAGGAAGTGGAGCAGTGGGTATCTCAAGGCTCACGTTGCCAGATAGAGAAAGTTTTTGGCACAAGGACTTTTGAACAGAAATGAAGGACATACGTTCCCTTACGTCCTAAGTGCCCAACCAGTAAGATACATGAGACTTCACTTAACAGCATTCAATCAACAGCCACAGTTTTGCGAAAGATGTTTCATTTAGCCTGAAAACAAACTGCTGAGTTTTGCTACAGATTTGTCCTTCCCTGAAGCATCCGCATTTCAGTGTGGCTTAGGCACATGGGGCAGCCTTGGACGTGCTCCTTGGACATGCTCCTTGCCAGCTCACCAAATATAGGCAACAGCAGCTCAATTATTGCATCTGATAAGATAGCCTCTCCCATGCAGACATTCTCGTTATATGTGAAAGCTGAACTGCTGGGAAACAGCAGAGAAAATGAAAACTTTGGGCACTGTACAGTTGCAGCTCTAATATCTTGAAAATCTAGGTATCACTTAGGTACCTCACAACAGATGCTGCATTGATAGTCATTACTCTAGGTGACATTTACCTTTTTCACAAACTGCAGAATGCGTATTTATGACATTAACATCTTTTTCATTTGAACTTCTCTAATTATCAGCCTTCTAAGGGATATTTAGGACAAACTCTTTTTTTCTCAAGTATTTAAGGCGCATGCACACAAAAGCCTTTCTGTAAAGTATACTGAAGTTAATTTGCTAGGATTTAATGTTTACCCATCTAGTTTAGTACACTAAACTTTTTCAAAGCTCAGAACTGACTATTAATTCTTATAGTTCACATTTTTCAGAAGTCAAGTTCAAAATGCGCAGTGAACCATCCCTGTTGCTATAGTAAGGACATACTTCTAACTGAACACTGGGAAGAGAGAGAGACGATACTACCTTAACAGCAGCTACAATGGTCTGGTTGATGCCAAATGATTCTTGTGAAATCACTTCAATTGTTGATGATCCTATCAAAGACCCAGAGTTAAGGAAACCTCTCTCATCAATTTTTACAACAGGAACTTTATCTGGTCCATCCAGGACATGGTAACTCAGTGAAGCCACTCGGTCCCTTAACAAAACAAACAAACAGAACAGAAAAACAAAGAAATAGGGGACTGCATTAAATGAGTAAAACCATATTTACACCAATATATTATGCAAATCTAAAAGATTGCTATTTGGTATGTGGTTTTTCCATGGTCTGCAATAAAAGCTGAAAAGCCTGTGTTCTAGTCTAAGAAAGAAAAGTTCAAGTTCTCATTCAAGCTCACTTGGAAGAAGTCTTATCTGGGTTTACGCATGTATTGAAATCCAGTTTCCATCCACTGCCCTGCAGTGTCATCATTCACTGATGTAAACTTCATTCCAAATAACAATGGCTAAGGCTACAACACGCAACTTCTGCCATCGTTTTCTGTAAATGATATTTAGAGGGAGATTGGTCTGCCAGGGCCAATGCAGATATTAGAGATAAAGTCAGGGACGTGATTAAGTGGATCTCATCAGTTTCCTGGAAATGGTTTTGTAGACCAGGTTAATTTTTGGAATAACTCTCACCATGGTATTTGCGTATTAATAAAGTGAGTAAATACATAAACTAATTAGTGGGCATTCTGAGACATTAGCTACTTTTAAGTATCATTTATCTAAAAGATCTCTAAATGATTTTTCTTTTCCTCCCAAGCTCCTCCATTCACATACAAATTGTCTACTTTAACCTAGGAAAAAAAGCATTAAAGCTGGATTTTAGTTGTCCTTTTCTTGGCAATAATGCAATTGCTTTTGGTGGTAGAGTTCAGACATAGGGACTCCAACATTGGATAGGGAAGGTGATGGGACAAAGAAGTGTACAAACTGATATCTAGCAACTTCATGACCAATTAATCAGAAAAACTGCTCAGAAGAGATAGCAAAACAACATTAGTAATTGACTACAAATGACAAGGCTCCTACATAACTTCAAAAGCAGGCGCTGACTGACCACAGTCACTGGAGCTCCAGTGGAACTAATGGTTTCCTCCCCTTAAAAAACTAAATGGACCTACAGCCTCCCTCTCAGTGTACGTCCTATTGTCTGTATCTGCGCATTCTTATGCTAGGAAAACCGAATGTCAGGCCTGAAATGAGTCTGAGATGGCAGTCTTTGAAAACAGATTATGTAAAAACAACTTCTCATTTGGAAGGACATTTTAATTTCAAAATCTAGTCGTAGCCTCTGTGTAAGAAATAGAGAGAAGTATATTCCATAAAGCCTCGATCACCCATAAAAAACTCTAGTGAAAGCAGGCTACTGCTTTAACTGGCTCAGCATCTTTTAAAATAAGGATCTAAAAGTTCCAAATATTGAATTAATTTTCCAGCTACAATCTAACTAATACAAGGCTTGAGAGAGCCCAAGAGTACAGATAAGATACTATTAATCACCAGAAAAGTTGTGTATTATACGGATGTACTGCGATACTCTTTTTGAAAGATTAAAACAGCTTACTTCAAACAAAATCACTTTACATTTTTGATAAACTGGTGACACAAATCACAGTATGAAAACTGCTCACTAACCTGTTTGTCTGAAGTTTAATAAAGGAATTTGGTGACATTAAGATCTGCTCCGCTTCTACTTCTGGAGTCACTAGATGAAGTTTTTCAAAAACCTGGAAAATAAAAGGCATTTTTGCCTACTGCTGTGTGCAGCAAGTCATTTATTTCCATTTATTTCACCTTCAAAACAACAGAAATCCCAAATAAAACTGTAACAACCTTTTTTTTCTTTTACCTTGTATAATACATATGGTAAAAAAAAAGAAAATTAAACATGAATATTTGAGAATGGGATAGGTAGTATCTTCTATCAATTATTGTGAAGAGCATTCATTTCTATGGCTATAGCTATACTACAAAGCGGCATGAAAAAAGAAGCAGATTTGTCAAGTGAAATGGTGTTGGAGACCCTGCATTCACCCATGCTACTTTAGAGTCTGAGCCCACAAACTGAATCCCCACGAGGTGCACTCCTCAAGCATATTTCCCAGCTCTGTTCCATCTAAAGGAATCCAGTTTGCATACTTCGAAACTGCTCCCCAAAGCATGGCAAGCGGGAACAACCAGGAGATTCATTTCAGAAGCGAATTCCTGACCCAAATTAACATGCTTGCATAGACATGTAAGATAAGCATTAAACCCAAGAAATATTATTGTGCAGAGGGGAACTACAGCACCAAAGTTCTTTTACAGCTCTAACACTGCTTATCCACAAGACACAAGTCACCTCAGTTTTAGGTGGTCTACAAAAAAACCTAACAAACTCCTGAATTTCATTCAAGCACCACACCAGCGCATGACTGTTCAGTGTAAACCTTACCAACACTTGGGGAACTTGGATGTTTCCAAATAGCGGAACATTACACAAACAAGAGTAAGGGCTCAAAGATAAACCAGAACTGGAACTACTCCTTTGCATTTCAAATTCCTGACTTCAAATACAGACTTTAATTCAGCTCTGAAATAGATATTAAAACATTAACTGTGAGGAACATCATCATACCTGAATTTGGATTTCATCGGACAGTTCTCTTGCCATGTTGTAAAACTGGTTGGCTGCAGGATCAAGGACCTTCACAACAACTTTCAGGCCTGTTCTTCCCTTCACTCTGCCATAAACATCCATTGCAAAGTTGTATTTTGCAGGAAGCCGAAAAGAAGCCTTGGACAGGAGAAAGTGATTAAAATTTTACTCATGGAAAAGAGCTGACATTGATTCAGAGGAAAGACAACACCCAATGCTGACAATTGCTCTTTGATTTTAAGTGGAAGGAACAGTATTTTCTCAATTCCCATTATGTGCCAGTTTCCTTTTCCCCAAGATACGCTTACATGCAAGTACACACACACACACACACAAAATTTACCTCACTGTGTCTTGTCTTGATATCCAGAGTATCCCTCTTTGTGACAGACCAGTGGAACGTTAAGCCCGGTACTGCATTGCCAAATGAGAAAGGAGTCTGACTACTGGTGATGCCCATTACATAAACTGGCATCTGAAACAGAGAAACCAACTTTCTTATGTAATTCTAGAATGCTAGCCAAACCTGCACAGAGCAAATATAATTAAACTTAAAATTCCTTGATCAAGAGATGGTATTTCTTATGAAGAAAATGGTTTGGCTGCTGTGTATGTTGCAAGGATAGATCATGCAGAAGACTCAAATAACCACTAACTTGCAATCAAAACCCAAATTTTGATTTATTCTCATTTGCTAGATGCTCTACAAAAAGCAAGTACCAGTTTTCCATCAGAAAAGATGAGTTCAGTAATTCATTTGTCCTATGTGTAGCATCAAATCACTTCATCTTAGTTAAGTCATATACTCTTATGTTTTCTACATCTTTGTCTAGATGATCTCCCTGATTAACTCTGCTCTGGACATCAGCCTTCCCCTTCCAACTCTCCAAATTCAGACAACGTGACATATAAACACAAAACAGGGATTTTCAACTCTTCTCTATATTAAATGATGCTTCTACAGCAAGGCCTGAATTTCTGAAAAATCAGTCTGGTGTACAAGGTAAATTTGTCCTGATTTCTCTTTTAATATGTTCAGCTCTGGAGCTTCTCCACTGACAGCACATTCACTTCCGCTGCAGCAGTGGTACCCCAGAGCAGGTCACCACTTGGAGCTGGAGTGGTATTATCAGATGACCTAATCAGAGTGGTAACAGCTTGCAGGTCAAAATTTTAAGGCAATAAAAGCTAATCACAAATAACTAACCTGTGTACCGGTTTTCATTCGTGTAATTGGTGCATGAATTCTAACAGCTGTCAGCTGTACTACTTCAACTTCCACTTTGTCCTAAAAATGAGGAAGGGAAGACATCGTAAGCACTTGTCAAATGTGAACTAGAGTTCACTTTCAGGATCTGTTCACTATTTTGCCATTATTTAATCACTATTGCCATTTGATTTGCGTATGACTTACCACAGAAAATACAGATGGACACAATTCAGTAGGACTGTAAAAAAACCTACAAAAGCACTAACTTTGTAAATTGATAGACATTTAAAAATGCCACCTGAATTAAAAAATAAAAGCTCTGCTCAAAATTACTGACGACATGAACGATAGAGCTGAGAGGTGACAGACAGAAAGGGACTAGATCGTAGGGGTCCCTGGGAGAAGAGGGATAAATAATCCCAGAAGGTAAAGGAAGACATTGAGAGAATTAGAAGGGAATGCGAATGGTAAGCAGCAAATGGGGCAATCAAGAATAAAAATATCTGTGATACTCTGCTGTCTCCTTTTCACATACCCTCACATTCCTGATAGATTTTATTCCTACTGTATACTGGGGAGGAAAGGTCAGACCTGGACCTCATGAGCAGTAGATTTTGCTTTCAAGTTCATTCTGCTTCCTGCCACAGCATCAGGGCAGAGTGCTGCCCCCGCACTACAAAAAGCATATACACATTTTTATTTTTTTTTTTTTTTAAATTGCTTTGTCTACTCTTGGCCTGAGGTGACATCTTTCAAGCAGCAGAGCTTTGTGGTGTGCAGCAGCTGTCCTGCCTTGACCTCAAATGAAGAGCCATAAGATTTGGCCCAAGTTGTATTGTTCTTAGTCTCAAGCAAGTCCCAGGGACTTGTGCCCCCTTATAGGCCTGCTCAACAGCTCCCTTACACTCAGCTAGTAGGAAATTATACGGACAGAGATTCTGATGGAGTATCAGGGATTCACTGCTTGAACGTCGTAGATGGATTCAGACCACAGCACGGAATGATAGCTTTCTATACAGCCTGCCTATAGCTTGAGAGACAATGCATTTGTCAACAGAAGGCAACGTTTACCTTCTGACTTCTACTGACGTAAGGTGATGCAGGCAAGGACAACCTTCTGCTGTTTTAGAAAGGCTTCTTTAGATGGGCTTTTCTAGATTTACTAATGAATTCTAAAGATACCAGACCATTCATAAAGTCTCCCTAGGTTATCAGCAGAACTTTGTTTTAAATACAGCAAGATTTAACTATCTGTTGAAAGTATTATCTGTGTCAGCAAATGCGTAAGTTCACAGGCCAGGGAGCAACAACCACTGATTTTGCATGTCCTTAAGGAAACCAGGAATCAAGTGCGCAAGATAACATTACAAATGCAAAAAGACTATTCATCCCTTTTGAGCCAAACCCACGAGTTAGAGCACGCCTCTTTCAGCCCCAAACAACATCAATAAAGCATTACCTGAGACACCACGACAAGCTTCCCTGTCTCTGCATCAACAGCTTGCACCACTCCTGTTACCGTTCCATTCCCAATCGCCACTCCTCTGACCAGTCCGGTGCTCTTCACTGATGCAATCATCTCATCGCTGATGGAGAAAATGATGTTGGATTGAAGTTGAGGACCTCCTTCTGAAGTGATCTGTAATTAATAGCACACAGAAGAACTAAAATTAACCCATCAGATATTTGTTCTGGTTAATGTTACAGGACACACCCCTTCCCTGCTCAGCAACGCAATGTCTTCAGTAAGGAACAGCTGTCTGAACCTTCCCAGGGCATCTCAGAGCTTATTTCTCCTGCACACTGGTCCCTGCATGTTGGACTGGGAAATACACGAGCTAAGCAGAAAAGTGGACTGTGTGCTTTGTAGAATGTGACAGGCTGATGCCACATCCAGCCCAGAAAGTTTAAGAAAAATTTACTTCACTTTCTCTTCACCATGGTATAGCTCTGCTATGTGTATCGGTTTGTAGAACTAGCCCACAATGCTTCATTTCATGGAGGTGCCAGATTTATTAATGCTGTGCTGGTACTTAACACTGGAAAACCTGACACTCCCTTGACATAAATACAAAACCTTTGATCCGACAATACAGTAAAATAGAAGGTGGCTCAAGAATGAAACTGTTCTTGCTAGGAGGAGTATGCAGTGTGCCTGCAGCTAGATTGCCAAGTTGAGTATCTATTCCTGAACAATAAGTTATTTATTTTAAAACAGAAATTACAAAAGAAAGAAAAATATGTAAGAAGATGCCTTACCTGAATCATAGCCCCAATAATTAGGGTCACTTTCCTTGGCAGTAGTCTAAATGGGGGAAAGACCTAAGAACAGGAATATGAATATTTGTGTTCACACTATTTCAGTCAGATCAATTATGTCACAAAACAGTACATACAAGTGTAAAACTGGGTCTTCACTTGCTTAATTACAGTAGATTGAGCACGCAGAAACTTAACTCATCACTTGCAGTTAAAAAATATTACGAAATCTGAAACAGACTAGCATTTGAGTAACTTCTGTACAGAAAAAGTAAACATCATTCTGGCAAATTAATTACTATACTATAAATTAACTGTAATATACTGTTCCTGTGCTGTCATCACATAGATTTTGTTTACACATATATTTTATCTGCAATTATTTACTTCAATCTGTTGTGGAGCAGAGTTGATTCTTTGTCCTCTTTTGTCAGCAACAGTTGCCATAAGACTAGTCTGACCAATGGCCATCCCATGCACTAGGAAAGTAGCAGTATGGTCATCAAGAGCTTCACTGAGTGGGCTGTAGGAAAGAAACATTAAAATAGAGAAGTTCATTGAATAAATTACATGAATAACAAATGCAAAGGACTTAGTGCATACAGGATGACTGACTATGTCTTAAGCAAAATTAAGGTGACCATCACATTTCTATATATAACATCATGAAATGGCTCTTTGTAGCCTGTGTTTTACCTTAAAATGAAATACCTGAAATGGAAGTGAAACAAGAGCGCTAGCTGGTACAGATCAAAACTCTGCCAGGGAGCCCACTAAGAATTTGACCAGTATGGACAATGGTGGCACAAGCCTTGATTACATACCTTGACACTATTTAATGGAGTAGGATAGATACAGCCAAGCAGAACTCCATGGTGTATCCAAATACACACACACACTTCCCCACATAAAGCAGAATGATTTTTACTGAGTACCTCAACACTAAAAATCAACAGTCCAAAAAACTAGATTAGAGCTTGGAAAACAAGGAGCTTTGAGGCAGTAGGATAATTTAGCCTACCTGTTTCTAAAAGGTTAATAACAGACAGAATGAGTTTGATAACATCAGGTATGTCTTCACAGAGTTCTTCACCTGACATTATTTGTCAAGTCACTGCTTCCAAGATGCATAAGGCTCCACGAAATGTTATAGCATATGAATACAGTCTCATTCATCAGTCAACAAGATATAGATAGTTAGCTTAGGCAATTTTCCTGACAAATGACCATTTTTACCATTTAACAGATAGTGAAAACTTTACAAAAATAAAATAAGTAAAACCTCATTGTATACTACCATGCCTCCAAGCCAATACCTTCACTCATTTTTTCCTTATTCTGCTTATAAACGTATTTGCAGATTAATTAAAAAAAAAAAATCCATTAACTTACACAAGTGAAACAATCCGAGACGCTGCCCTTAGTTTTAGATCCATGACAGCAAAGTATTTAGCCAGAAAAGGTTTCTTAGAGTCATCCAGAACTCTGACATAAGCTTTAACTGTTTTTCCAATCACCACCTGAAACACAGTCACATCCAGTTATTTTTCATTTATACTATTCTTATTTATTAGCCTAAACGTTTTCATTTTATATTATGCTTTTAGTAGGGTATTAGACATAAAGCCCTAAGGTTAGATTAGCACTGATTTTAAAGAATAATCCCTGCCAGCAATGGTTAGTGTCAAATTAAATAAATGAATTCAGGTCTTTCAGCTGGCAAGGGCGTAATTAAAACATCCAGAAATACCAACACTTATTTTGTATGAGACGCACCCAAGCTGGCAAGTAAAATGAGTTGGACTTTTTTTGTGTTCATTTTTAAAACATGACATATGGAAAATGACCTTCGGCAAAACCTACTAAAAGAATTGCTCTCATGCACTTTAAACAACAGGAAATGTAAATTAGTGTGTTCATATAAATCATGAATTAACTTTGCTGTGTAAATGCAAAAATTGAGATTGTTGCCACACAGAACGTGAAGTAAGAGACGCTTAACACTCTGAAAGGCTTATAACCTAAAAGGATAAATTTGGGAGGGAGAAAGAGAAGCACAGGGGGATCAAATTGTTTCTCTAAGGTCATACAGCTGCAGCAGAGGGCCCTAACCACTACATCATATCATCTTGTACATGTCTCACCTTCATGTTCATGATCAGCACAAGGAATCGGGGCAATCTGGATCAGCTAATAATGCTGGTTTCAAAGCCACTAACCTTGTCAACAACTCGGACGTAAAGTTCCTGTATATCAGATACATAAATTTCAGCTTTAGCTGGTGCAGGGAAAGCCAAACACAAGTCATGAATCATCACAGTCACTGATCCTGGAAGCAGAGGCTGCACCTGCAATGCCAAAAGAAAATTCTATTATAGCACTTCTTATTTTCATTTGTCTGTCCTTCATAGGATAAAATTTATATCACTTTCAGGGCAGGCATAGTTGGATGCAGGAGTTCCCAAGCCTTAGACACAGATAATTCTTCCACCGAAGCAAAAGTAAAGCTGTAAAACACACGTAAAAAGTATCATACTACTGAGCTCGTGCAAATGGCCTCTGGACAGTGACTGAATAAACGTATCTTAATCTAGAAGCAGTCTGGCATCCTGTTATTCTCCTTCTGCCATCAGAAGGACAAAAACCCCATAACATATCATTCAGAGCAATGAAACTTCTCTTGTGAGGTGAAAAACAAATGATTAGGAAAAAAAACCCTCAAGGATAGAGACTATGCTTATAAAGCATTGGTATTGCTTCCTACAAGATTCATACTTTAGTAACTGCTTTTAATCTGAATGAACAGCCAAAATCTGGTGGTGTATCTTCCCAAGAGGACGTCTGACAAATCAGGTATTTCTTTGATACGACTATTATTTTATTATTTTTGTATACAAAGAGCGTACACATTACACTTCTCAGAATACAGCGAGAATCAAACAATGAAGAAACAGACCTCTGCCCACAAATACGAGCCCTCAGAACTAGGCACCAATCCCAAAGTCATCTCCGCACACTTTACTTTCTCAAGGCCACGCATCTGCACCTTGCTCACATTACCTTCACAGTTCTCTTGCAATGTGCCTGAATGTGCCACGCACCTCAGGGATGATCCCAACTATTCTCTTCACCTTCACAGGCTCCTTCACTTTGGCCAGAGACAGCTCAGATGTCTGGTGTCCTACTCTATGCTCTCATCTGGCTTATGAAGATGGACTCTGAAATAAGGGGTGATGGACAGCCAGGCCCCCCAGTTCAAAGGAATTTAAAATAATTCATAGCATTACTTGGCAGCATGACAGGAGTTAGCAGTAAGAGCAGTGGGAAGAGCTGACATTTTGTTCTTTGAGGGCATCACTCTTACTTTTGCCTCAAAATAGAAAGGAATATAAAGTTTTAATAAATGCCAGCTTTCAGAACAGCAGCACTTCCCAAAGTGGGTGGCTAATACGGGTGCCAGGGGCGTATATTAACACACAGCCTGGAAAGCAGAGAAGGTGATGTGGCCAAGAGGAAGCAGCCAGTACGACCACGGGGAGGAAGATGTAATGGAGCTCAGTTTGGGCTGGGAGACCAGAGAAAAGATGCTACCAGAGCAGAAGGCCAAAAGGCAAAGCAGGGCTACTACAACTTAGAAAACTGTTCCTGTCTCAGCTACCTCTTCTGTTCTCACCTCCTATTAGGTGTCCAGTGGCCCCTAGTATGCAGTGTGTTTCACTGTGCCTCTATTCATCTTCCCCCATACTACCACCCACATCCAGAAAAGCTGCTCTGTCAAAGGGAAGATAAGAAGTATAGAATTTATCCTTGGCAGCTCCAGGAAAAAGTCTGAGAATTGCTACTGTAGATAGCTTGAATTTAGTTTCTCAGAATAGTTTACTATCAAACCATCCTGTATCAACTGGACTCCACTGATACCTGCCATGGCATCATCCTGGCACAGACTGGAATTTGCTGATTTTCTACACAGAGCATTCTGCTGGCTTCCATCGAACAAAAAAATCCATTGCCAATACTGGGATTTAACTCAAGCATCGCATGCAGGACTAACAAACTTTTAAAAATGTGGGGGTTTTGATTGTTTGTTTGGTTTTTTAATGGTTTTAAAACATGTTAACAAGTGGAGTTTTCACTCCTTTAATCTGACAGGTAGTTAAAATAAATCTCTGTTTGTACTTCACAAAGTCTATCTTGCTGGCGTTGTTCCACTAAAGTTCACTACTCTATTCTGAAATCATCTTCTGTACATCAGTTAAAGCACTGCTGAAC